CTTGCTGGCAGTTTCCCACTACTGCCAATCTTTTTCTTATAGTATTACAAAAATTGCTCAATGTCTGCTTATGAGTGAGAACATGTGAATCTCAGTTCTTTGTTTCTGTGATACATCACTCAATATTATAGACTCTAATTCCATCCATGTTGCTGTGAAGTTCATGATATTTTCCTTCTTTATGGCTGCTTAATATTCCACCATGTATATGTACCACTTTTTTTTATTAAGTCCTTTTTTGATGGACAGCATGGTTGGTTCCATGTTCTTGCTACTGTGAGCAATGCTGCAATAAACATATGTGTGCAGGTATCTTTTTAATAGAGTGATGTGAGTTCTTATGGGTATATTGCCAGTAGGGGGATTGCAGGGTTGTATGGAAGGTTGATTTTTAGATCTTTTAGGGATTGCCACACTATTTTCCACAGAGGCTGCATTGGTTTACACTCTCACCAACAGGGTAGAAGTGTTCCCTTTTCCTTGCATCCTCTCCTACATCTGCTGTTTTTTGAGTTATTGATGATGGCCATCCTGACTGGAGTTAGGTGGTATCTCAGTGTGGTTTTAATTTGCATTTCTTTGATGACTAGTAAGACTGAGCATTTTTTCATGTACCTGTTGTCTGCTTGCATGTCTTCTTTTGAGAAGTGTCTATTCATGTATTAGGCCCACGACCCGAGGCCGGGAAGAGTCGCGTCGGCCCCCGGAGGGCGGGAAGGCATGCCTTGGAACAGCATCAACAAGGGTTTCCATTCCTGCCGCCGCGGCCCCGGTTGCTATTCCCGAGCCGGGAAAGGGCCCCGCTGGCAGGGAGGGAGGGAGGGAGGCGGGGAGGTGTCCGCGCGCTGGGGCCCCGAGGAGGGAAAAGGTATTTGCACCGAGCTGGTGGCGGCGAGCCTGGGGCGGCCGGCCCCGCGCGGGGCTGAGCACAGGGGGAGACAGACCCGGGGAACCGAGGTGTCTGCGCAAGGAAGGAAGGGACCCCAGGGACGGGCGGCGACCGGGCTGGGCTGGCTTGGGGTCTCCCGGCGGAATAGGGGTAACATCGCTGGGACAGCCACCCACCCTTGGGCTTTTCACAGCAACGTCTACATTGAGCTGGCCAAAGGACTGGCAAACTCGTTTCTTAATTAGGCAATGGCAGACCATATCCTGAAACCTCCGAGTTATTGATTGTTTTTAATTAAAGTACTCTCTCCCCCCCGCTCCCTCCCCCTCGATCTTTGGAGGCTGAAATTTTTAAAAACGATCTGATTGTGCTGAGGCGTCCGGGTTTATTCGGAGGGGAAGAGAAGACAGTTTAAAAACTGAATCATATGAATCCACCTGGCTGTTCTAGAGGAAAAAATAGAAAAAAGCAACCTAAATGCGACTCTTACGAACAGTTTTTCATTTTTTACTTTTGGACTAGGCAAAGATGGAGGAAAAACACATTTAATTGAGTTTTGCTGGTCTGTTCATGGGGCCAAAAGTTTCCATTGCAAAAACTTAAAATCCTCACCTATACCACAGACCGTTTCCTGACTCAGATAGACTTCTGAGAAATTTTCAATCAAGTTATTAAAATATCAGTTGGAGTGCAGGGTGTGCATCTTGGGAAATAATTTCAATCTTGTGTGGATTATTGATGCCAGCAGTCACATGGGCAAATTTTTTTAAGTTGATTTGGTTTTTGTTTTTATTTAATCTACTAAGATAGTTACAAATCATAAAATCAGTCTGTTGTTATATACATATATTTGTACAATTTATAGAATATTTTCCTCATGAATTTGAGCAATTCGTGTTGATTTGGAGTGCGGCCATGGGGGGCAGGTGTCTCTGAGGTGACCTTACAAAGTTTTACCTGCACACCTAGAATTTAAAGTTGTGTCATCAGAGCCTATCTTTCTGTCTGAACATCGAATTCAGGTTGCCCAATTATCTTCACTGAATTCTGTGTAGTACTCAGTCAACCCTGTGAACATTTTCCCCTGTCAGAGGTTAAGCTTTTCAGAGTTACCCCAAGATGGCAAAGCAGAAGAGGAAACTACCCTCAAATTTCCATGACCACTGTATGTTGTAACACATCCCTAGGGAAGTCCCTTTGTAATTGATAAGTGCCCCACTCATTTGAGAGGAAGATTCAGACCTCACATTGCCAAGGCCTACTGAAATCCTATAGCTATTGAATTGGAGTAAACATGTGTTCGAGACTTCCCCCATCCAGTAAGTCACTGCATAGTGTAGTGGAGAGGAAATTGCAATGCGCTAGACAGAACCCCATACTAAGAAAGTTGAGTGAATCACTCAATTTTCCCCAGACCTCTGTAATCATTTAACAAACCTACGGTATAGGAAATCCCCAGTACTGTTCTCACCCGAATTAACAAATGAAGAATTGGCAAGCCCTCTTCCTCTTTCCCTCAATACTTCTTTGCCTTTTGGTGACTTTTTTTTTTCTATTGATGTTTTGTTGTGTATGTTAATCATATTTCTCCTGATTAGGTAAGGGCAAAGTGAAGAGGGGTCCACCAATCAAAGTATGACTTGATCTAAGCTGTGAGTTCTCTTGGACTAGGATTTTGTGGGTTCAGGCTTCACCCCATCAAGCCCTGCATTAAGCACTGGTTATATCTAAATAGATATTTGAAAATTTAATGCTTCCCACCCTCATCCTTTTACAAAGATGTGTACTTTGAAAAACTGTTTGGATGGTTAGTTTTCATGACCATGTTTTACAGCAACATACAGACCTAGATTTTCATTTTTCCCTTCAAATTTCAGTGAATAAAAACACAGATTCATTAGTAAACAATGTTTGCTCTTATAGCAAAATACAAGGTGACCTTTATGATACTCAAGATTATAAAAAATAACTATCTTCAGTAAATTATATGCTACCTTAGTTCCAGTGATATTTTCCTCTGTAGTCAATATGTCTCAGTTGCATCCTCTTTCATCTGATATTTGAAATAGTCTATATTTTTTAAGTCTCCCCATCATCTATACACATTCCTTTATAAAATGTCCAGCCTGGCACAGTGGCTCATGCCTGTAATCTCAGCACTTTGAGAAGCTGAGGCTGGAGGATTGTTTGAGTTCAGGAGTTCGAAACCAGCCTGGGCAACATGGAGAGACCTCGTTTCTACAAACAATAAAAAAATTAGCCAAGCATGGTGCCTGTATTCCCAGTTATCGGGAGACTGAGGCAGGAGGATTGCTTGA